GCGATAAGATAAGAATATGTAATAGCCCAATGCTGAGCCTTACACACTCAGCAATTAGATTTAAGGGTTGAAAATATGCATGAGTTTGAGTATATAAACCCAGGCTTAGAATAATAAAGATCAATACAAAACTAAACACCATCAAAGTCAAGTGTATTCGTTCAGTTGGTGTCTTCAGCTTTCTTTGAGTTAAATGTGCTTGTGCTCCAGAGTGGTGTGGTTTGGGGGCGTGGGGCTATAGGTTGAAAGGGTAGGTTGTGTATTTTGCAGTATTGTATTATGCGTTCCATTGTAGAGCTGTTTTTAAGTCGTTTTGGTGGTCGGTATGTTTTAAGGATTCTACTGACGGGTGAGCTATCTGGCATGATCAGGGATTTGGATGGTTGGCCGTTAGGAGTTCTCTTCTGTCTTCTAATGTTTCAGTGTATGCTTCGTGGAGGATATTTTGTGTGGGAGTTGCTCTAAATGCTTTGAGAGTGATTCTAAGGACTGTGTTAATTGCGGATTTGATGGGGCGTGAGACTGATTTTTGTCAGTTTCCGTATATTGCTTTGGTCTACTTTTGCGACCAGAATTGATTTGGTCTTATGGTTTTATGTCTATGAGTGTGAATGTATTGAAATTTAATTTTGTGCTTGAAAGGCATTTAATTATGTTGATTGCTTGTTGGAGACTGTATTTGAGCTGTTCTGTCTAGGGTTTCCACCTTTATTTGTTGTTGAAGTGAAGGCTAAGTATTTTATTGATGTCTCGTATTAATTTGTATTTGTCCTGTGGTTAGGATGCAGTTGCAGTTGTGTTTTCTGCAAACATGCATGTGCTTGCATTTTGTGGAGGAGAGCATGGCACCTGAGTGGGGACTAGGTTTATGTTTACGTTTTTTCTGTTTTTAAGTTTTAAAATGAGGTTAAAGTCGTCCGCGTATGCACTTAGGTAAGTGTTTGGGTGTTGGGTGAGCTTTTCGGTGAGTTTGTTGTAGGCCATTACAAATAGGACAACCGATAGCGGCGATCCTTAAGGGATGCCGTTAGCGATGGGGTGGAAGGAAGAGAAGGCGTTGTTGATGCGTACTGTTGTTTTACGGTTGGTCATGAAGTTTCCTATGTAATTGAGTATTTTTGGTCCAGTTTTCCATTCTGTAATATGGTCAAGTATTGCGATACTATTATTTTATCGCTTCCGTGTTATTTTCTATTATTCATTGGAATTTCATATATAGAGTGGCTGTCGCCATTTGAATGACATGATATATTTTGTTGTTGGCGACCGTGCTTCAATGACTCTACAGCGACAATTGCATGTCTGTAGAATATCATAAAGAAAATAATAATGGCTTTTACTTGTTCAATGCATCGTATTATTACGAGTAAATAGAGGAGGAATGTATTTTCATTTGCTCATCAACACACCGATTCCTGATTGAAATCGGTATCAATGAGATATGGCTATAACTAAAATCTTATGGTAATAGGCGAAGAAGCCATCCGACACTCACAATCGCAATGCAAATCAAACTGAATTGCAGCAGTCGATGGAGTATGAGAAAGCTGAAAAGCAAATTCAATGTGTTTATCAACTAATTCATACCAATATGAATTTTGATGTAAGGCTAAGCTTACCGTTTCATTTTCTGAAGACTGCGCTTCAATGTCTTTTCAGTTATTGGCACCGCGGAAAGATAGATGCACATGCCGAAGAAAGCTTGTTGCAAATACTTTTCCCAGTTCAGACTGTTTAAGTTGAAGTCGAAGAGCTGCTGATCCACTGGAGACATGCACTGCCACAATCGATCCACATTTGGAGTCTCGAAGGTCCAGCTTTCGAGCAGAAAGCTCTGCAGCACATCGATATTCTTGTGGATCTTGTCGTATATGCGAATCATCCTAGGCTTCTGTCCGCGCACTCGCAGAGCTAAGTCAATCAAGTAGCCGGGAATCAGGTGGTAAAATATGGTGGCCAGCTTGTATAGCCAAACTATTTTGGTGGTGTGTAGGAATGGGTA